CATATACACACATCCACATAAATAGGTGCAAAGTATTTTAAATCCACTATTTCCAGCAGTGCTTTTTAAAAAAGTCAGATTGGCTTTCATATGCTTTCCAGTAAATATACATTTTTTTCTAAGCTGAGATTAATATATATTATAATTTCCACTTGTAATAGTTAGAAGCCAAGTTATGTTCCAAGGAGTGTCACCAAGAAAAATATGTTTTCTCAGGCAGACAGGAAGCACCTTTAAAAGCTTCTTTATAAAGAAATATAAAGTTTTCTTCTCAATACAAGTAATTGAAAGTTGTTTTATCTTGATTTGGTACAGCTGGATTTCACATTTGGAAGACTTTCACACTGCAAATTTGAAAATCAGATACTTCTAGGTAATGCCAATGATTTTTAATATGTAAAGAATAAAGACCTTCACTTTAAATTTTTTTTAAATGATACTCAGGGAATTCAGTTAATCTCATCCAGCTTAGACAGTATTTCTACATGACAGAATTATTATACTTCCAAAGACATTTATGTTGGAAGAACTTGAACCTCTTGAAATAGGATAAAGTGGGACTCCCCTCTGGATAACAGAATAAAGTTAAAAAGGGGGTGGGAAGAGCCTATTAAGCCCTGGCTTCTACAGAGCAGGACTGGAAGGGGCCCAGTAAAGTTCTTCTAATGGTCACTGGCATGCCCATTCTGTTACCAAGCACTGGAAACAGAACACAGGCAGGGCACCTGATAGCAGCTCTAAGGAGGCTGCCCGGGCATGTGGGAACACAGGCTTCCCATCCCTGCATCTGCTGGGCAAAGTATTTAGATTAAATATAATCAGCATGCCAGAAATCAGCTTAAATAGTTAGGAAGGCCAAGGAATTTTTAAGGATGGGTTACCACTGTCTGAAATGTCCCCAGAATGCCCTGAATAAGCTGTGCTAATACTGTGCACGGAGCATCACTTTCAGCCTTGTACAACCCCAAGCATGGAATACTGTGGCAGCTGTGTGCACTCTGGAAAGCCCACCCCAAAGCCTCTGTCATACCATCACAGTTCTACTGGTGGGCAAGTTTTGACTATTTAAAATGGAAAACGAAATGGAAACCCACATTCTCCCTTCTCCATGCCTTATTTTAATTTAAAATGTAGATCCTCACCTGTTCATTTCACAAGCTTCTGCCAGGTCTTCCAGAGCAAGACACTAGCGTGTCTCACCTTCATCTCTGCCTGCTAAAACCACAGTGCTCTTGAACATTTTACACTCCTAAATATCTAAGGTGCCCCACAGCTGCCCCATTCCAAGGTATACCCATATAAAGTCAGCATGTTCATCAGAAGGCAAAAGGCACACAAAAAGCCCAGCAATTATAGATCATAAGTATGTCCCCGATACCTGCTTCACAAGAGGCGCAGGAGTTCGCCTGCCCAGTGTTGACTGCAGAGGAAGTTCTTTCCCTCTCTGGTCTCACCACTCCTGTCTCATCAAACACCTGTGGCTAAGGTCTACCCAGAGAGGAAATTCTTGTTCCTTTTCCCTCTCCTCCCTGCCACACCTCCATGTATGCCTTGGCAACAGGTTTTAATTCTTTTGATCACGAAGGAAAGAACAACAGAGGCATGTTGTCAGTAGACCAATATTTTCCTCTCATTTATCTACAATCTTACACCCCTGCCAGATCAGCTAATGAGGTAATGAACATGATCTCCAGCATCTGGGGTCTCCCAGGATAAAGGGGCTCACCAACCCCTTCCTTATTCCTTCCATCTTCATCTTAATTTCTGCAACTTTTCATGGTTATCTGAGTTGATGGAGCATGTTTGCTTGAGCCAGGAAATAAAGGATAGTTTCAATGACATGAAATGTATGATGGCTTTACCATCAAGGCAAGGCTAAAATATAGATATTAGAAGGTTTGACAAACTCACTTAAGATGAAAATCCTGAATAGTTCTTTAAAAACTAATTAAATGTTCCCACCTTCAATGCAACTTCATAGTAGTAGCAATTCTTTTTCATTGCCAACATTGGGCTAGGAAGTTGGCAGAGTTTGAAAAATGAGAACCCTTGTCTATATGAAGACAAAATTATCAAAAGAATAGATACTCTGAGCCAGGTGTGGCAGTGCATAGCTGTAATCCTATCTATATACCACACTCTCTCTCTTTCTCTCTCTCTCTCTCTCTCACACACACACACGAGTGTACACTGAAGGAAAACTGAGGTGCCATTCAGACCATGTGGTAGAGGGGTTGATCACTCTTGGATAGGGTAGGACTATATTAAATCAAGTATTATTTTAAGAGTCTCTAGAACCTCAGTCTTTCATTAACACCAAAAGCCAAAATCAATTTTTTTTAAATATTGAGGGTGTAGTTCAATTGTAGAGCACTTGCCTAGCATATGCAAAACCTGAAGTTCAATTCCCAGTATTACTCAAAAAATAAAAAGTAATCATATAATTGCAGCATTGTATCTCAATGATTATGTCAGACCAAATTGGGAGAATTGGCACAAAGGGATGGATTGATAGACAGATGGATGAATGAATGAGTGGTTCTGCTACTAAGAATATTTGTAAGTGTAAGAACAAAAACTTGTCTTATTTATAACCAAAGGCATATAATGCCCATGGTAGAACTTACAATAAAAACAGAAGGGCTGTCCAAAAAAGGTAGCACTGGCCAAATCATTGAAGGACAATAAAACCCCCTGAAGGAAATCAGATTTCACAGGAGCTAAGAAAGCAGTGACAAGTCACCTGGCTACCACATAACAGATCAATATGCCATGAGTAACAGCTCAGAAAGCTAGGGCACAAAGGAAAAATAAAACACTGGAAGAATTATGTTGACATAGACTATACACAGCAGACAGAGAGGCAGTGTAGATAAGAATGTGGAATCAAGCTGGGCACGAGTGGCTCACGCCTGTTCCTAGCTACTCAGAAGGCTGAGATCTGAGAATCACGGTTCAAAGCCAGCCCGGGCAGGAAAGTCTGTGAGACTCTTATCTCCAATAAACCACTAGAAAACCGAAAGTGGCACTGTGGCTCAAGCGGTAGAGCACTTGCCTTGAGCTGAAGAGCTGAGGGACAGCGCCCAGGTCCAGAGTTCAAGCCCTTTGACCAAAAAAAAAAAAGAAGAAGAAGAATGTGGAATCAGCAGAATAGGCCCAGTGGAGGGTCTTGAAGCTAACTGGAAAGAAATTGAATTTGCTACAAGCAACTTTCCCTCCATTCCTATGAAATGTTCAGAACATAAGCTTAACAGACAAAGTAAGCTGTAGGCTGACTAGGACTGGGAAGCTTAGGAGGAGGCATGGGTCAGAGAATGACTTCTAATAGGTACAAGGTTTCTTTAGGGGATGGTGAAAAATGTTATAGTATTAGACTGGTGATAGATGCACTAAAACTTTCAATTGTTTAATGGGTAACTAATATGGTACATAGAGTAATTAAAAATGAGTAGAAATGTGAACACAGAGGGAAGAGGTCTTCTTCCCAAAGCTGTGGAATCCCTCACTAACCTACCCAAAGGTCTACAGATTGTAGACCTTTAGGGTCTTTGGAATAATCTCCGAAGTACAAACTGGGCAGAAAGTGCCACTTGTCTTCCAAATTACAGCTGAAGGGCTGAAGGAAACTGCAAGGGACTTAAGAGAATGAGGAACTGAAATGTCACTCCATTTGATTACAGATTAATGTGGAAGTGGAATTCAGTCATATAAAACACATTCTGAGACGTGTGCTACCAGCAAAAGGGAAGATGTTAATTGCTTAGAAGAGCTCCACTGTAAAATCAAAATGCAATTTTAGAGCAGATGAAGGCCTGAGTGATTCCCTGCAGGGAACGACCTGTCTGTTATCTGAAATGTGCCACGCTGGAAACCCAAGACACAGACACTGAAGCCCACCTACAGAAGCAGCCAGGTAACTTATCTGGAATGCAATATAAAAATAAGGCCTCTCAGCTGAGCACTGCTAACTCAATCCTATAATCCCAGCTGCTCAGGAGGCTGAGACCGAGTATTATGGTTTGAGGTCAGTGTAGTCAGGAAAGTCTATGAGACTTACACCTCCAATGAACTACTAAAACCTCTGGAAATGGAGCTGTGCCAAGTGGTACCAAGGCCCTGAGTTCAAATCCCAGGACCAGCACAACAAGGGGGAGGGGCACTTTTAAATTCCCTGAATGACTCTAATATACACCTAATCTAGAAACCACTGAACGAATCCTCAACCAGGAATGTACTCATTACCTTACTGATGTAACTGTAACCCCTCTGTATAGCATCTTTACAATAAAAATAAAATAAAATAAAATAGGAGCATGTAAAGACGTCAACCAGATGTTTTCCCATATCACCTAGAACTGTCTCTCCCCTGATACTTGCTTCAGAAGAAGCACACCTATTGTGTGTGTTGGGTATTGCTCTGGAAAGCCTTCTGTAGAAAATCCTGTCCTCAGACCCCACTATAAGAAACTATAAAGGAGATGAGAGGGATGGCTCAAGTGGTAGAGTGCCAGCCATCAGCAAGAAAGCTAAGCAAAAATGTGGGACCCTGAGTTCAAATCCCACTACTGGCATAAAACAAACAAAAATTAAACAGAATATGTGCCTGACCTGACAAATAAGAGACTTTGGGATTGTGCCAGAAAAACTTCATATGCAAGAATTCACCACCCTGGTATTTGTTTTAGGCATACCTGTTACCCAATAAATAGAAGCGACTGGTAAGGAGAAAGAATTTTTGTAATTTTATAGGCCAAGCCTAATCTGGAATTTTTTTCTTACCACATGAGCTCTGTGTTATAAAATAAATTATCAAGGAATGTAAAAGCTGAAGATGTTTCATTCTCTCACCTGCACACTGCCCCAGTGCAGCCTGCAAAGAACAGGGCAGGCTGGCAGCTCGACCTTCATGGACCACACTAAACCTCTCTGAAGAAGTGTCAGGTGAGTTCTCTGGGTGACATGCATTGAGCCATTACCATGCCAAGCTGTGTGCTTCTTACCTATAATTCCACTGTCCTTGCTTTCCAGGGTAGAACTAGGGCTGCTAATGGTCTCACAGGGACTTTTGTTGGCTGCTGTCTTGCTGACACAGCTATTCAAGGTTGAGCAGGGGCTATCGGTGCTAGGAGATGCGGTGCTGCTTGTTAGTGTGGAGCAAGGACTGATGCCTTGACTCAGAGCCGTGCACTGCAAGATGAATGGAAGGAGGCATTAGCACATTCACAGGAGATGCTTTAATACAGGTATTGTTTTTTGGTACTACAACAATAAAATCCAAAACAGGAAAGTGGAAAGCAGTTTTTAAACTCTAGAGTGGGAGCAGCTACAGATATGTGTATTTACACACAAACACACAAACACACGGCCTTCCAAGCACTCAAAAGAGAAGTATCTTTGTAATTTCCCTTTTTTTTCAATAAAACAGTAGTCTTGGCAGTAATTTAGTGGAAATGTATACTTTTAAAACAGAAATGGCAAGAATGTAGGCTTCCCCTTGTTTAAAATCTGCAGAAGAAAAATGGGCTATCTGACCTCTGTCCGGGAAACCTGGGGACTCTGCTTTTGTCATGTTTCACAAGCACAGCAGCCTAATTCAATTCCTAGATTTATGGGCTCGCTTTTAGAAAAGGAGACTGGTGACCACTGTAGTCTCAATCAACCCCTACTGCCTCTGCACAGAGACCCTGTGGCGGGGGGCTTAAGCTCTAGGCCCTCATGGCCATCCACACAGCTCAGTGGTGGCTGCTGTCCTCTGGTTGGGGAGCATGCCTTCCAGGAGACAAACCACTTAATCTCATCTCATTTTGTCTCTGCCTCATCACCTATAAATCTTTTCTTCTGCTATTAACAGTTTCCCCACCTCCAGTCCTAACAGTGAAAACACACACACACACACACACACACACAACCAGAAGCAGCCAGACAAAAAGAACATTTGTGATAAAGCTAATCATAACATCATTACAAAACAATTCTTTTAGTCACTTTAATTCACACAGTCACTATTCTCCAGGTAGTGACTAGAAGGCGAATGTGGGCATTTTCTTAAGTTCTGCTCCCTTCTGCTTTTCTTTGATCACCTTCCCCTAGCAAAAACCCAGGAACAAATTTTTGCAATGAATTTCAATACACAATGGCCCAGAACTCATTTGACCAAACATTAACTTCTCCACTGATGCCCCAGTGGGGTAGAGGGGTGGAGACAAGGGAATGGTGGTCACTTCATTCTCCTCTGAGCAGGTATGGAATGCAGTGTCTTCCTCAGGCATTACCATGGTTTCATTTTTGTCTTCAATGGTTATGTGTGTGGCACTGGGGATCCCTTCTCCCAGTAAAAATCCCAGCCTTGTCAACAGTTCTTGAGCTGCCGGCGAACAGCTCGGTTCATTATCGGCCTTTGCTTCTGGAACAAAGAAAGAAAACAATGAAGATGCACCTCTGGGGAATTTCATATCACATCTGGATGAGTTCGCACTACAGCTGCTTGTCTGGAGCTTTTGTGTGTTTCTATAAAATGCATAAAGTTTGGCAATGCTGCCTATGTTCTAATAGTACATTTTAATTAGGTGGCTATGACAGGTTAAGAAAACAGTATCAGAGAGACTTCAAGTGCAAAGGGTGAAACCTCTGACCTGAACCAGGAAAGCCTACTTTCATGATCTGACAGCATCTCTATACCCATGTCAAGTGAAATATGGGCATTTGAGATACTCCTCTGGGTAAGAAAAGCCTTCTTTACCTTAAAGAACACTGTGTAACCAATGCCATGGGAAGCCAAAATAAGGTAAAACCCAAGTGGCATGTTGGCAGAGGCCCAGACTATTTAGGTGTTGAGCTAAAACTGAAATCTGAGTTCTCATTAAACAAGACAGGGACAGTCAGGAGGAGTTTGGTGGAAAACTGGTAGTGGATATTCCACTGAAAGTCACAACCAGTATTCTAATCTGGGAATTGTGTTGAAACAATAATTTTTAAATCCCACGAAACACATCCCAAGAGACAGGCTTTAGTCCTATCCACGCAAAGATGTGGAAAAATCAACTTGTTTTTTCAGAATGTTCCATGTGCAGTGCTAAAAAGCATGACCTTTTTTTTTTATTAAAACCTTTTGTATTTTAGAAAATTTTATTGTTGGGATTTGATTTAAATGTCGAGCTGGAGGCTCTAAAGGCCTAAGGATAATTACAGCTGACAAATAATATCAACATCATTCTAACACCTCTCTTACTTCTTAAATCACATCCACTGGGATGAAATAGACACAAACTGTGCTTATGCAAACTGGAACTTAAAGATTAATATGAAATGTACAATGTTTTCCTCTTTGGGGTTAATTGTTTAGAAACCTAGACCCAAACATTCATAAAGATTGTGAGATCTTAGAAAAGTAAGGAAAGAACAACATGGTGGTATTACCATTTAACTATGATATCATCAACAAAGTGAAATGCCAATTTTTTGTCTTTGTAAGAAACAACAAAAATCAACAGCTTGTTGAGACAATCCAGATTATCCTCAATCACACAGAAGTCTTGCTAAGTCATACACTAGATGGCAGCTAGGAAAGAAGTCAGACTGAAAATATCTTTAGGAAAGACAAGGCCCATCTATCACTGGCTTATCCTTAATGCTTGGATTTTTTTTCTAGTTATTCTAGAAAACTGCAGGAATAAGTTAACCAAGCCTTGCTTGTCTTGGGTATAGAACCTTGATGTTTCTGGATCACTTCAGTTAAACTTATAACACGAAGGCCCTGTGCCAAGATGGGAAGAGAGCCACCTCAGGGCAGGTCGACCACACCCCGTAACACTGCCTTCCAAAAGGTCCCTTCCCACCAGACTTCAAACCACAGTTAGATTCTCAAGGTAGATGGTATTTGGGAAAGGAGGGTGGGAACCAAACCAAATCGACACAACCCAGGCACACCCAGGGCTGAACCACAGAGGACAAGATCCCTACTTCCAGCCCTCATAAGCAAGGTCTCAAGTATGGTTACTTAACAGTGATGGCAGCTGGAGTGGAAGGAATCAAGATGAAGATGGAAAAGGGAAGAAGCAGAGAAGGGGAAAGATCTTAGCTGCTGTTTTTCAATGTCGCCTCCTTCCTTTTGAGTCAATCTCTATAATCTTGCTCCATGGTGACAGTGCCCCAGAAAGTCTAGCTTCTGGTTCAACCTGAAACACTCTGGGGAAAGAGCCAGAAATATCTCCCAGTTGGCAGTTACTGTAGAGCCAGAGGCAGCTGCATACACAGGGTTGGTTGCTACAATATTTACCCCAGATAACAAATAAAAATACCACAGCCTTTGGCTCACTTTAGACTTGCTTGAAGGCCTTAGGTCCTGTTTAATATCTACAACCCCCTCCCCCGACCAGTGGAGCCACTGCTTCCTCCACAGTGCAGACAAATACCTAGGTTCTTCAAGTTTTCATTAAGAATAAAAAACATCTTAGGGTTGGGGCTCAGTGGAAGAGTGCTTGCTTAGAAAGCACAAGGCCCTGAAGTTCAGTCCTCAGCTCTGGGAAGAAAAAAAAATTAATCATCTTACTCTCCTCTCTTCAGAGGAGTTGGGGAATGATGGCAATTCCAGGCTTACTGGGTGAGTAAAAGAGACAGTAATTCATGATTGACTGTTCCCATAACTATTCAACCTGTACTTTGCTACTAGTGAAGTTCAAAAACCTTACTAGGAGTCAGAATGAATGAACATTTAATAATTTCATTTTGCATCCATTAAGCCAACACAATGTATTTCTTCCAGAGATTTCCAAACTGTCTTTTCATATAATTCTATCTTTTAGACAGGCACTCTACCACTTGAGCCACTCCACCAGCTTCTTACTCTAACTTCTAAAATGTCATTCTAGGAACCTTCTCCTTAAAAGGTTGCTTTTATTCTGAGTTCCTTATTATCCAGCTGTCCATGTCTCTCTCTAATGCATGTGAGCCTTTCTCTAACTGAACTGTTCATTCTGGCAAAAGGATCCCTGGGTAAACACTGACAATGCCATTCTGAGATAGATTAAATGCCTGGGAATTCACATGTATACATTGCACTATTAATTGGGTTACATTTTGTGTGTGTGTGTGTGTGTGTGTACATGTGTGTGTGTGTGTGTGTGTACATACTAGGGCTTGAACTCAGGGCTTGTCCCTCAGCTTTTTCACTCAAGGATAAGGCTCTACTACTTGAGCCACAGCTTCACTTATGGGTTTTTGCTTGTTAATTGAAGATAAGAATATGACAAACTTTCCTGCCTAGGCTAGCATAGAACTGCAATTCCCAGAGCTCAGTCTTCTGAGTAGCTAAGATTACAGGCATGAGCCCTTAGTGCCCAGCCAGTTCTTTCAAAGTATCTCCCTTTTCACTCTTATTGTGACTTAGCTGTAAGTCCCCATCCTCTAAAGTATAGTAGCTTTTGGACTTTTAATATCTTGTCTCATCTCTATTTTCCTTGTCTTCTTTAAGTCACTTCCTGTGGATGGGAAGATGGAACACCAGGAAGGGCTAGTGAGGGACTGCTCATAGAGAAAGTAGTCCATCTCTCCCTTGAATAAGCAGTATGATTTGAAACATCAAATCATGCCAGAATTAATGGGGTATAGTGGGTTCTGTTATTTTCTAAGCCAGTGAATTCTCAAATATATTAACCTGTGGACTCATTCTCAAAAATTAAGGACCCCAATGAGCTTTTGGGTTACAAGGGCTGTGTTAACATTGTTGTATCACCAGAAATTAACAATTTTTAAATATACTTTGATTCAAGATTAAAAACCACATACTCACTAGACACTATGTTGAAAAATGAACTATACAACTTGTGGTTAGGGATGGGAGTGAAAAACTTGGAGACAGTGAGGGAAGGAGTGACATTGTCCAAAAAAATGTACAATCTTGAGCCAGGCACAGGTGGCTCACACCTGTAATCTTAGCTACTCAGGAGGCTGAGATCTCAGATCATGGTTCAAAGCCAGCCTGGACAGGAAAGTCCATGAGCTGAGCCTCCTATATGCAATTAACCACCAGAAAACTGGAAGTGAAGATGTGGCTCCAAGTGGTAGAGTACTAGCCTTGAGTAAAAAATCTCAAGGACAGTGCCCAGGCTCTGAGTTCAAGCCTCACAACCAACAAAAAAAGAAATGTACTTTTTATCTGACTTATGTATGTATAACCCCTCTGTACATTACAATAAAAAATTTTAAAAAACTTACCACATGTTAACACTTAAAATTGAAGCTAAAAAACTAATTTTAAGAAATTTGAAAAAATGATATTGTTTTATATTTGCAAAAATCTCTAGTGATAACTAGAAGATGGCTGGATTCTCACATCTTCTCTGTTGGAATTTGGTGTTGGGGGCTGAACCTTGTATGTGATGTATCACATACCTCCCCAGGTTGCTCTTGTGGTTGAAACATGTGAAAAACTTCAGCTTACAATAGATTTGTTGTAAAAAAAAAAAAACCCAGAGGAATCTTTTTAGTTACATATGTGTTCTTCTCTGATAAACCACTAAAACTTGATGAATAAAATTTCTTAGAAGTTCCAACGTTGATCTTGAACATGCATCAACAAACTTTTTGTATACTGTTGTTATAACACCCAATTATCTATTTTATGGCTTTATCTTGTTTGGGACTGCAGCCAGAACCCAGGTCTTGTGCATATTAAACAAGCACATGTTCTACCACTGAGCTATACCCCAGAGCCTGTTTCTGTTTTAAGCAGATCTTTTACCCATGCAAGATTCTGTAACATCATGGATTGGGTCAATTGAAAAATAGTGGTTTCTCAGATCTTGAAAATGCTTGACACACTTCATTACACAATGCCAAAATATCACATTTATCAATATTTCCACAGATCTTAACTGCATATTCTTGGGAAGCCATCAAGTTCAATGTGACATGCAAATTTCCCCCAAAAAACAATTTTCTCATGAAAGGTCAAATTTTAGCAGTATGACAACTAAGCTTGTAAGGTGTTTTTCTTTAATTGAGGTGAAGACTCCTTTCATTCCATTTGAGGAAAATGTATGACAAATACCCAATTCTGAGCGGGCATGATCTGTCAGCCATTATTTCAAATAAAAATGATGTCCCATTTGAAAAGCAGCTAGTTCTGCTTGCAATTCAAACGATCACACAAATGCTTTACCTCAAGACAACCATCACACTCCAGCAAGAAGCAGAAATGCTTTATAAGGACTCCCCACTTCATCATGTGGAATATTAAAAAATAGGTATTTAAGGGCCAGGATTTAATGACATTTATTACTTATAATACTTTGTCAAGAACATTCTTCACTGAATTGTTCATTCTGCTGTATTTGGTAGTGAAGGATATTTTGACAAGTAGCCAGTGCCCTGACTTGGAAAGCAGGCATAGAAGTTTTACTGACA